TAAAAAAAAAAAAAAAAAAAAAAAAAAAATGGGTATAGAAATACGTGGAAAAATGTGATAGTGAAGTAATACAACAATATGTCCAGAACACATCCTGGTCTCCTCTTCAGAGTTGGCCATTTAAAATACTTTCTATGAATTCAAATGATAATTCTTATTCTCAGCTTTACCAGTTTCCATGTATAATGACAATATTTACTATATGGAAACTGTAATTGAATCATCACTTTAGTAAGAAAGAATAAAAAGGTATGAAAGTGGATATAGAAATGCATTTAAACATGACATTTGTTTATAAAACTAAGACTTGCTAACTCTGGATCCATTTTGAATAGGAGGTTATTGTTTTCATAGTATGTAATAACTAGCTTACTCTGAAGAGAGCTTGGTTAAACAATAAAACATTGTTACTGACTTGGTTCCTGTGTACTCTGCAAAAATTTTATTTTTAATTTGATTCATATTTTGAAAATACTCATAATTGGCTTCTTAAAGAAAATATTGTAAAGAAAATATTGTAACCAAAAAAGACCTCTACTCCTATAGTAAATAGTAGGGAAATATAAATGGTATCTGCCCACAAAAACACCAAGTGCCAAGTTAACTTAATGAGCCCTCTGCTCTCCCAATGCTAGAAAGCCATTAAAAATGAGTGCTTGTAGTTTGTTGTACAGCCAATCTAGGCTCATCTTTAAGACACTTTATCCAAACAGTAACTCTGTTGTCAAATCTTGTGACACTAAAATTCCGTTTTTTCCTTTGTTGCTTAAATTATTCACTGCTCAGATCAATTCTAGTGCAATTTTCAAATTCATAACTTGGTTCTAGTGCTTGTCAGTTTCCAGAAAGAAACAAGTTGTCATTTGTAAGCTTTGTGATTATTTTTTCTTCTATTTTAGTCTTCAAATAAAAGCAATATTCCAAAATAGAAAATGAAAAAAATTCATTAAACAAAGAAAAAGAACTCTCCTTAAAACCAGCTTATTAACTGTGTATTAAATGGGCCAAATAATGATAATTATTTTCTAATAAAGATGGATGTTTTGAAGGTGCGTTTTAATTTAAACATGAGAAAGATTGTTTTTCATACTTACAAACTAGAATGTAAAATTCTAATTTTCCTATTACTTAAAGAGCACAGTTGGTTCCAAAGGTGTTAATGCTTAAAGGCTATAATTAACTCTGAATGCACTAAAATTTTTAAAACAAATCTACCTTAGAAACTTTTGGGATTATTCTTTTTAAAAGATCTAAGGTTTTATTTAAATTTTCTGAGTTAAATTCTGTATTTGAAAAAACATTAGGGTCTTCCCTAACGTACTGAATATGTTCCTCTCATCTTATTTTTAATCAAGTATTTTATAGAAATGAGTTGGAAAATTTAACATGCACTATTTAGAGTACTTTGCCACTAACAGGCAATGTTCTGAAACTAAATTTATTTTTGTTCAGTGAACATAAGTTTAGATTTTTAAAGTTGGTAGATAATTTATCTCCACTAATATTTTTTTAAGAAACTGTGAAGAGATTAACAGGGAATAATTTTATTTCAGATTTTTCTATCGTAGTATGTAGCTGCAACTTCTTAAAATTCAAGTAAAGGCTAGCCTTTTACTTTGAAAACATTTCCAGTGGTTATTTCCAGTGCTATTTCATTTTGGAAATAAATGTTTGCCATTCACCTGCAGAATCATTCGACAAAGGGAATATTACTTAAAAAATAGAGAAAAACCTCAATTTAAGTTCTATAAAAATATTTATCAAATGAATGTGTTGAAAAACTTTTTAATTCCCTGCTAAAGACTTTTTCTTTAGTCTTAGAGGGTATATGCTTTCTAGAACTTGTTTTTTGTTAATATGTACTTTGATGTAAGAACATATTTTGTATGTAAAGCATAAATCTTGCATTATGGTTGTAACATATTGTTTAGGGATCCAAAAAACAGGTTAACGCTGAAATAACTAGTATGTAGTTCATATTGTGAATGAAGCTTTGCTTTTGTAATATATGAATAAAAAATAACACTTTCTCTTATGACCCCAATTTTTCTTTTTCGAAAACTATCAAATTAGTTTTGTAGTAATTTTCTGATATATAACTTGTTAATAAAAGAAAAAGATCTTGTGGCTACACTGGTTCAAATTTATGGAATGCCTTACCATGAAAAGATCACAAGTTACAAATAGCTACATACATACATATATATATATATATGTTCATGCAGCTGGTCTCCATCTAGTTTCTTCTCTTTATTCAAGATTCATTTAACCTGACTCCTGCACCCTGTGAGTTCTGTCATATTCTGAGGGTTCTGTCACATACATGAGGAAGGCTGCCCCAGATGCTTAATTATCTTTTTTCTTCTTTTTTGGTACCAGGAATCAAACTCTGAGCCTTCAGCTTGCTAGGTAGGCAGTGCACTACTCTGGTACATCCTTGATCCTTTTTGAAAGAATGGTGTTTGTGGATTCATGTGTTAAGAAACATCCTGTAGCTGGGCATGGTGGCACATGCCTGTAATCCCAGCACTTGGGAGGCTGAGGCAGGAGGATCGCTGTGAGTTCGAGACCAGCCTGGGCTACATAGCTCCAGGTCAGTCTCAGTTACATAGTGAGACCCTGTCTCAGTGCCCCCGTCAAAGAAACATCCTGTAACACAAATTATTCTTTTAACTTGTTTGCAAATGCTTATCAAAATCAGATCTATTATTGGTAATTCAGAAGTTTTAATGTTAGTGTTGCTTTGAAAAATATTTCTGTACAATATTATCTTTCTCATTACAAAAAAAAGAAATGACATCTGATACATCAGTGGTTTGTTGAAAGCACAGTTTTCCTTGCCTTAAGTCTTCCAAAATTTCTGATTTGAGCTTGTTAAGTTCTTCTGCTAGAAGCTTCAAGTTGTTAGGAAGTACTTGTTCATCTACAATTTAAAAATTTTTTCTCAGATTATTTCTGTAAATCAATCTGGGCTACTTGATGACATCAGAAAAGTAATTTTTTTTTCAGTACAGGGGATGGAACTCAAGACCTTGAGCTTGCAGGGCAGGCACAGTGTCACTCAGCTACATCCCCAGACCAGAAAACTAACTTGATTACATCAGACAAACCAGTCAGATTCTTTTATAAGTGATAATGAGTTGGAATAATTTATAGACAAAAGGTCATATTAATGTTACACAAGAAAATCATTTTGAACAGTTCAAGGAATTTAAATAACTTGCTATGAAGTATGTGAGCAGAAAAAGACAAACCTAAAAGACTTTTTGCTGTTGACAAGACCTAAGGCAACAATATATCTTTTGCCTGGAAAGGCAAAAAAGCAAAAATACAAAATGACAATTAGGTTTTGAACTAAGAAATAATATCTTGAAATTTGTCCAATATAACTTTCTACAATGACAGAAATGTTCTATATCTGCTGCATTTAGTACACTAGCTGCTAGCCATATGGGCAGTGTTACTGCGAATCTGAAGATCTGTTCGATAGCTTTATTGATACATAATTCACTTTATTGATACTGTAAATCCATCTAAACTATACTGCAATTTTTAGTGTATTCACAGATGCATGCAACCATCAATACAGTCAATTTTGGAATATTCTTATAGCCCAAAACACAATACCCTTCAGCTGTCACCTTGCTAAACCCACTCTAATCCCTACGCAACCAGTAACCTACTCTGTCCCAAGATTTCCCTGTTCTGGAATTTTATATGGCAGGAGTCACATAGTATGTGGTGTTTTATGACTTTCATTTTGCATATTTTCGAGGTTCTCCATGTTATATCCCATAACAGCAATCCATTTTTGTATATAGTTTCACTATATTTTGTTTATCCATTTATCAGCTGTTTTCACCTTTGGACTGTTCTAAACACTGCTTTTATAAACTTTTTTTCGTTTTTCATCTTTCTTTTTTGACAATATTGGGGATTTAACTCAGGGCTTTCACACTGAGCTACATCCCCAGGCCTTTTTGTTCTTTTTGTTTTGTTCTGTTGTTTTTTTGAGACTGGGTCAGGCTATGTAGTTCAGGCTGGCCTTGAACTCACTATGTAGCCCAGGCTGGCCTCCTCCTGCCTGAGCCTCCCAAATGCTGGGATTATAGGCAT